TTCAGTAAAAATCCTTCCAGCTGCACAGCATCTGATACCAGAGGAAACAATGATAAAAAAAAAAGTGATTTACATCCAGAAAAAAAGGAATTAAAGTTTCCAAAAGCAAAATCTCAGAATGAAAGTAACAGAGATGCTCCAACATGCAGCCACCTTGAGTGGCGCAATACTAGAACCAAGTATTTTTAACATCCGTTCGGTACAACCATGCAATATAAAACAACCGTACAGTAAAATATCCATGCATTAAAAAAGTTACAATACTGTTAAGGAAACGTACGGTAAAGCAACCATGCAGTAAAAAAAAAAAAAACAAAACTGTATAATTTTGTTAAAAACAACTTTATGGTAAAATAACCATGTAAGAAAAAACAACTGTACCATACTGGTAAAAACAACCGTACGGTAAAACAACCATGCAAGAAAAAACAAGAACAACTGTACAATACTGTTGTAACAACCTTACGGTGAAACCATGCCGTATAAAACAACTGTACGGCAAAACAACCATGCATTTTAAAAAACAACCGTAGGGAGAAACAACCATACCATATAAAGCTTCAGTACTGTAAATTCAATTAAAAAAACAAACATACTTTATTAATCCCAAAGGGAAATTATTTGTTGTTGTGACTCTTTATCCTCATTTCATTAAGAGATGTTATAGATACTCATGGCTGTAGGCAGGAAGGATCTCTTGTAAAGGTCCATCCCACAGTGGATCCTAAGAAACTGCCTGCAGATGCCGTCCGATCAGTTCACCCAGACTCAACTGCCCTCTCGTTTCCCCCAGGCTGTAGGACCGCCTGAATGCTGGGCAAAACTCCTCCCAGAGCGATGGCCACTACTTCCAACAGTCTGCCGAGCTCCTCGTCGCTGCGGACAGCCAACTGTAGGTGCCGAGGGATGATGCTGTCCTTCCACTGTCACGAGCCGTGTTTCCTGTTAGTTCCAGGATCGCAATGGTCAGGCACTCCAGCACAGCCGGCAGGTAAATGAGAATGCGTACACACAACATCCTTTCAACTCATTTGAGATTTGGGGCTGTAGTTGAGACATTATTTGAGCTTTTGAGATGTTAATCAGCTGTTCCTGGTTGTAGAAACGGCCTCGTTTCCATGGTTACGCATCATAACAAATGTCCAAAACTAAAAAAGTTTCAGTAAAAATCCTTCCAGCTGCACAGCATCTGATACCAGAGGAAACAATCATCAAAAAAAATGTGATTTACATCCAGAAAAAAAGGAATTAAAGTTTCCAAAAGCAAAAGCTCAGAATGAAAGTTACAGAGATGCTCCAACGTGCAGCCACCTTGAGTGGCGCAATTCTAGAACCAAGTATTTTTAATATCCGTTCGGTACAACCATGCAGTTACAATACTGTAAAAAAAAAAAAAGTACAGTAAAAAAAACATGCAGTAAAAAAAACAAAAAAAAACCCAACTATAATTCTGTTAAAAACAACTTTATGGTAAAATAACCATGT